GAAACATCTGTTACTGGCTACAATCAAAACAAGAACAAAACGATTTCAGAGCAGTCCGATTGTCCATATGATTTAGGCCATGTTGATTTGATTATATGGATGACATCCACGCGCGCATGAATTTTCGGCCGTTTCAAAAAAAAAGTTTTCAACCATACTGTAAATCGTACAAAACAGTTGCAAAATGAGCAAAAATATACCGTAAGTTACAAAAAAAAAAACCATACCAATATCATAGAATGCCAAAATCAAACGAAAAAAGACGAAATTGTAAAGAAATGAACTTGAAGACTAGATTATTCGCCAAACCATATTCCGTCCCATTTGTTCAACCCTCATGACCACGTAGATTTCATAATGAAAACTAACTTTTTTTTCAAAACTTTTTTTTATTCGCACGCGCGCATCAGTTTTGGGGCTCCCGGAGGATGTCATCCATATAATCAAATCAACATGGCCTTATCTGTAAAACAAGCAGTACCAGTGATAGTAAAAAAATACGCATAGTGATAGAATGTTTAGATTTTTACACACCCGATTGGCATGTAGGTTTTAAGAATTCCCTCTTTTTAATTGCGTTTAACGTGTTTAATTATGTACTTTTTAAGTGCACTTTTTAATCTATCATTTGTATTAAAACACGCCTATGGCTGCTATGTGTTTTGATGAATGAACCTTTCATTCAATGAAGGTACCAGTACAAGTCCATCCTGTGGCAGGCCGGGGCAGCCCGAGTGGAGACGTACTACCGATACTACAAGGACACACCTGTCGTACTGTTCGGGCAGGTGAGAAAATTGAAAGACCTTTATTGTACATTCATGCTACGACGGGCTAGGTACAGGTCAAGACTTGACAGATACATACATAAGGAACATACAAGGGTACTATACTAGGCTAATACAAAGTGTTCTAGCTACTGAGCTATATAAATACTGCAGGGTGGTCAACTTCTTCCTGCTTTTTTTGTACAATGGAAAATGTGGGAACAGATCATATTTGTGATACAGGGTTTGTCTAGGCGCATCAAAGAAATACATTTATCGTTTACATTTGGGTGTTGAATACTATGAATACGTCTGTAACAAATTAGGACTCTAGGGGTGTTTGGTCTCTTAGGCCTTCTTCACATAAAACCGCCTGAACCGGGTAACTCGCATTTCTCACATCTGGCCACGCGCCACACGTTCCTTTCAAACCGTGCCCGATCACGATTCGCCTAATCTACGTTCACTGTTGTTTGATGAAAACACGCAAGGTAGCGTGTTGTGAATGTCAGAGGTTAACGACATGCTTGCTGGTGCCCCCCTCCCAGCGTACCTCCGCCGAATGCCGACGTGTCCCGCCAGAGGCAGTGAAGCTCGTCCTAGGACACATTATTACTGCTCTTTAAGTTGCTGCCACGTAAATTCTGGTATTGCATATAAATAAATAAAAAGATAATGAAGATGTAAATATACCATTCGTTCATTCATTCATAAGTTTGATTGATCTCTGTCCCCCACACCTCGTGTCTTGTCCCGGCAGCTAGATGCACTAATCACGCTTTAAAGCTGCAGACCATCGCGAGTAAGAACAACTATTACAGGCTCTCGTTCTTCCCTCGCACCATCAAGAGTGGAATGAACTTGAGCCCAGTGTGGCGGAGGCGAAGTCCATCTCCCAGTTCAAAGCAGAGCTGGGACGGGCTTCGCTGCATTTAGCTGCCTCCCTGTCCTTGTACATATGTAAATATGTGTAATACTAGCACCATTGATTTCACTTGTCCTGTCCTTGCACTTGTCTACGTCCACCCCTACCCTACCCTTTGTTTGCATTTGCACACAGTAACTAATCTGCGCAGCTGCTAATAATCCTCTTCTTAGAGGGATAAGCAGTAACACAGATGATGATGATGATGATGATGATGATGATTGTTCTACAGAAATTCCCAGATGGCGCGAACGGTACCAGCGTGGGGAACCCGGACTACACTTGCACGGGGTTTCCCACCCTGGCGCTGGAGGGGCAGGCCGGGTTGCTAGGTTACCTGTCTTTTGGCGGGAACATGTTCGGAGGAGCCAACATCAGGGCCGGCGAGTAAGTACAACAGTTCTTTTCTCCAAACAAAAACCTGAACCTGGACCAGACTGCTGTCACCATGGTAACTGGTGCTGCAGCAGACACCCTGTGGTGTTGGGTTACATTATGTAGCAAGTGGCAGGACAGAGTTGGACTCGTGACACCATATATATATATGGACGTGGTCGAGTAATAATAAACAGAGCAGTTGTTTGTTAGGCTACACCATGGAGGTCGGATGGCTAGACCATGTGAAGGTCTATGCATTATGCATATGTTTTGTAAATGTTACCTTTCTAGACTGGTAGTTACCTTTACCTTTTTTGTCGCAGGTGGTATTACCAGACGGAAGGGATCCGGTCCGGCATTACGGGCGGCCCTCTCGCCGTCTTCGACCAAGACCTGAACACTGTGGTCCTGTCTCCCTTCAGGTAGCACAGCACAGTTTTCGCCCAATATGGGGATTTTTATTTTGAAAGTTCATCTGAGTTGGCAGTTAACTACATGTTTAAAGTTAAAACTTTAGACCCAACATTAAAAAAGTTCTTTCACCTAGAGCTTTCGACCAGTCACCGTGGTCTTCCTCAGTAGACTGACCCAGTGAGGCTCAATTGTCACGTGGCTTCTTTGAAGCGTGACGTCAAAACTGATCTCACTGGTAGACGATGTCGGCCCCAGATACTCAAGTGTACTCTAGTACATTCGACTTTCTCTCGCTTCCTTGTAGTAGTGGAAATTTTGGCGGATGTATTGATTAGTTAATGTTGGTTTGTTGAAGGCTGTAAGGAATACAAATTTATCTGTACTCTTCAAATATTTGTAGTGGGGGAATTTACTTTACACACATAAGTTATAACCATATCTGCTTACGTAGGCCAATTTTTGTACACTTTATTCCATAAGCGAGAACATATCATCAGTACATGACCATATGGTAACTCAAATAAATACTGTTTAGATAGCAGTTTGTAGTAAGTAAGGTTTTGTAGTTTTGTTGTATTAGGCCATGTTGATTTGATTATATGGATGACATCCGCGCGCGCATGAATTTTCGGCCGTTTCCAAAAAAAAAAGTTTTCAACCATACTGTAAATCGTACAAAACAGTTGCAAAATGAGCAAAAATATACCATAAGTTACAAAAAAAATTGATAAAAACTATACCAATGTCGTAGAATGCCAAAATCAAACGAAAAAAGACGAAATTGTAAAGAAATGAACTTGAAGACTAGATTATTCGCCAAACCATATTCTGTGCCATTTGTTCAACCCTCATGACCACGTAGATTGCATAAAGAAAAGAACTTTATTTTTTGCAAAACTTTTTTTTTATTCGCACGCGCGCATCACTTTTGGGGCTCCCGGAGGATGTCATCCATATAATCAAATCAACATGGCTTTACTGCCACATATTGTACCTTGTACGATTGTTGAGCAATAAAGTTCATTCGTTCATAACTGAAAAGAACGATACTGTGTCGTGTCACCCTTCAGCGAGTTCATGGCGGCCTCGGTCTGGCACAACGGTACCGGTGACGCAGAGTCCGGCGGGGAGGTCAACTATGGCATCATGGGACAGGTGGACAACATCCCCCCGGACTTCGACTACCAGACCATCCTGTACTACGGCAAGGGTATCAACCAGGTAGGGCGTAGGAATTAGGGTCGGTAGGTACGGATTATCTTTTTCTTTTAATTAGGCTTTAGCGATCTCTAGTGATCAAACTTATACAATACAGATAAACTTGCAACCTGCAAACACAATATTTTTCTTGGCCTAGCCTAGGCATTTCCGAACGACTTTCCTCACTTCGCTCAGGTGAAAATGAGTACTTGTACTTGGCCTTGCACTGGGCGAAAAGGCCTCGGATGCAGCCGGATCCCAAGGATCCGAATTTGCATCACCTTGCGGATGCTGCGCGAATCCTCAAGAATCCCAAGGATTGCTGATCCCACACAAAGAATCCCCAGGATAGCGGATCCCATACACATCCGTAACGCATACGTATGCATCCGTAACTCGCAGCGGATGCAGATGCGGCATTTGTAGGGATACTTACTTCGCAGCGGATGCAGACACGGCATCCGTACGGATACTTACTCGTTACGTATACGTTGGAAATAATACGTCGGTAGGCCATAGGAAATGTCACATTTTTAGGGGTCGTGACCTGTCATATTTTTGGACCTCGAATACTACCGTTTATAACATAGATATAAGTCAGACAATCCACTATACACTGGATACAAGGATACTCGTATTCTTGGGAGTTTTTTTTTACATCCTTGGTCCACTACACAGCAGAAGCGAATTGTGGGTAATCTGGGGATTTCTGGAATATCCGAATTTGTTTTCGTACGCATCCGCGGGCCCACTCCACGAATTGTGGGTAATCTGGGGATTTCTTGAATATCCGAATTTGCTTTTTTACGCACCCGCGGGCCCACTCCACAGCAGAAGCGAATTGTGGGTAATCTGGGGATTTCTGGAATATCCGAATTTGCTTTTTTATGCATCCGCGGGCCCACTCCACAGCAGAAGCGAATTGTGGGTAATCTGGGGATTTCTGGAATATCCGAATTTGCTTTTTTATGCATCCGCGGGCCCGCTCCACAGCAGAAGCGAATTGTGGGTATTATCTGGGGATTTCTTAAATATCCGAATTTGTTTTCGTACGCATCCGCACATTGTTGAAATTACAGTCGCCACAAGAGGGCGCACCCCGTAAATAGCCATATACGTACATTGTAACCTTGCCTTTGCGCGTCGCATAAGCAAATGTCTGCTCGGATTCGTGACTGTACTGATTTTTGCTGATTGGAAACTTTGCGTATTAGACAAGAAGTTGGTTCACATACAACCTTGGCCGGTGTCAAAACCGAGCATCTCTCAAAGATCCATCCACACTTTGCTTCTGTATTTTTGACGGATCCGCAGAGCAGTTCCGGCAGCAGCAGTGCCTTGTGGGTAATCTGAGAAAACCCCGGGGGAGATTCAAACTCAACGGTCACTTTCAGTGACCGCTTGCTTGAGTGTGCGTCCCTTTCTATCGTCCCGCTGGCTGTCCATATATATCCGCTGCATATAAGTTCAGCAACCACGGCATTGATTGTCAAAGTCTAGGATACTGACCGTACACCGACTGGACGCTATGAGGTATCAGTGGCCGAGACAAAGACGAGAGACGTACCGGGGACATCGCCCTATACGTCGCCCGGCGAGGGCACGAAGCCGCCAGGCATGTCATGACACGTTGCAGACTCGCCTGACGAACAGTTCAACTGGACCATAAACCGACTGCATAAGACTGTTGACGCGCATATAGAAGTGAGTAAACCCTTCGAAACTCTTTTAATTTGTATGATCATTATGGTTTCAGATCATTTCTGACGAAAGTTTAGAGCAACTCAACTTCGCAACTCACATCTGTGGCCTTTATCTGACCCGTTGTTCCCACATGTAAAAGCGCCGGCCTTCTCAGGGGGGGTATTTCACATGTCAATGCTGGCTCGCATAACAATGCCTGCTGCTGGCATCCGGGCCGCTGGGAGACTGTTATCCTAACGGTTTTTTAGCACATTCTGGCCGAAATGCCATTTTTACACTGTACTTGTTTTCTGTTGTTGTTTTTTCGTAGGTCAGAAGCGACTGATTGAACGTGGTAAGACTGTCTTCAGCGCAGACTTCTACAAAGACCATCCTGATGTGGGACTAGGAGACAGATGATGGCTGTAACAACACATAGACTGTGAGACGATCATCCTGGCGAAGCAAGACGTGATAGTTCTAGTTCTACCTGTTTAGCATTGCAAATATTCATTTTACATATGGTACATGTATTCGTATAGTTAGTTCTCTCTTTTTTGTCGCTTTACACCGTGAGTATGTGCGGAGTTTTAATAAAGGCTTTCAGGCTAAATCTATTCATTCGTTTATTCCTTCATTTATTTAATTTGACATCTGCACGTATACATATCAAACAGGGGCGTTTCCAGGGGAGAATGGCGTAAGGATTCGGGAAGATCCGAGGTACGGATAAAAAAATCCAAACGTCGGCTCTGTTTGCATACGAGGCAAATGCAGAGAAATGTGTATGGAAATCCGATAGGGATACGGGAAAATCACAAGTTGTATCTGTACGCATCCGTGTAAAATACCGACGTCTGCACGTGTGGATCTATCGCACATCCGGAAAAATCCCTATTAAAAAAATTGACATCCGTAGAAAATCCCGATTTTTGCATTCTTTGGGATCCGGACAGTCCAGGTTACTTCAGGTGTACAAAAAATCTAATCAAAAACTAAAGAAACGAATTGGTATCCGCGAAAAAACCCGCTTTGGAATCCTTTGGGATCCGGACAGTCCAGGTATACAAATAAATCCCTAAAGTATCCGTGGAAAATCCCATTTTGGGATATTTAGGGATCCAAACGTTCCGGATCCCTAAGAATGCAAATTTAGAATATTTTACGGATCCTACCCGTATCCGTTTGCATCCGCTTGTATCTGCTAAAAATGCGTAAATATCCCTGTGCGCATATGGCTGCATTCGAGGCCTTTTCGCCCAGTGTTGGTTAGGGACGTCCCTCGGATAGGACGTTAAATGGAAGTTCCATGTTTGAGGAGAGCCACACCCCACGCACCTCAAAAAGAACCCTCCACACCTTTCGAAAAAGAGTAGGGGCATGCCCCAGTGTGCGATGGTCTAATAAATACTTCTATATGTTGTGGGACTAAATACTACTACACATGTAACGTTATAAGTTGGCGATTCTCTACAAATCACCCGGATGAAGGCCAGAGGAACCTCAGTGTTGTACCAGCCACCCCTAAATGCGCTGAGAAAAGAACAAGGGAACGTAGAAAGTAATTCCTTTTCTGTCCACTCCCTGTTTAGGCCCTGCACGAGTGGGGAGGGACCCTGATGAGGCAGTACGGCAAAACCAGGGCGAGGATGGAGAGTGACTTCTCCAGCAACTACCTCGGCTACTGGACGGATAACGGTTAGTATCACCAAAATGGAATCATTGCGTTCGCGACGCAAAAGTGCCACCTACATCTGCTACATATAGCGGTGAGATGCAGTACTCCAGTCAGAAGCTCTGAGGAAGGTGTCTGATAGACATTGAAACGTAAGCAAGGTAGGAACAATACCTGGTGTGTATAAGAAAATCCCGATATCCTATGTTCTAGCACCTGATGAAATTATTTTCGGAGGGGAGGAACTAGTAATAAGAAGGCTGATGAGGCTGTACAACCTTACGGCCCATGCTTATGCTTCGGTCCCTGCCCCTGGTAGTCCCCGGGCTGTTTTGGGGCACTTTCGGGCGTGACCCGTACGTGGTCCCGTGGGACACCCTGCGGCTACCGGGCTATTTTTAGGCCCGTCCGGGACCCGAGAAAAACTTAATTCTGACAAAAAGACGCCGTGACCTCACCGTGAGAACACCGAGAGGTACCCCTCCGGTTGGCCGCAGTCCACCAGGACACATTTGTTACGTGACAGACCAGATGAACAGAATAAAGGTGTGTACTACGTAAACCCGTGTAAAATGTGTGGCGTCACAGATCAAATGATCACAATAAAAGGGTCTGTAGGTCTGTACAAGACATTGTCAGTGAATCTGCCGGGTGCCTGCCGGAGACCGACCAAAGAGGGTGACAAAATTTTTAACAAAATGCTACTGAAGGAAACTTTTAATTGTGACCACGACAGCCGGAGCCCGCCCGACTCCTGAGGCCGACCGGGGCCGGCCGGGGCTACATCCCCGACGGGCACCGGCGTAATTGGGACCGAAGCTTTAGTAGGACTGGGGCCGGTAAAACTCCTAAGCCGGCCTGTGGTAACCAGGCTAGAAAATATAACAATGGAGGTCATACTGCAAAGAGTTCGGCAACAAGAATGTAAGCTTATATGTGTAACGGTTGATTAAGTCACTGGTCTGGTAAGGTTGACTTTCTGTTCCCCGTCCTTCCTGCTAGGAGCGTACTATTACTACCACACGGAGCCCGGGAAGAACTACGAAGACACGATGGTGGATGCCATGGCCTATGCGAAGGAGGTCGGGATACCTTACAGGTGAGTCACTTGCTTTAGAACGTTTTCCTGGTTAGTTTACGTCCGCTCCCACCACAGTCGGTAAACTTACCAGGATGGTACCAGGCTAGTAGTTTTTTTTCTATTCCAACATGTAATCACAAGGCGTGGTGACAGCACACTCAAGTTTTTCAACTTATATTAACACCGTCACCAACACGGGGGAAAATACAATACTAATTTTCACCTGAGCAAAGTGAGGAAAGTCATGTTAAGTGCCTTTCCCAAGGGCACAAGACTAGTAGTTGACATCAAACGATATCATGAAACACTCTACCTGCCTTTGATGCACCCAGACATCGAAGCAAAAATGCTCAGGGACTACCATTACCCTTTTCTTTACCGCCCAGATACCTTCAGCTGGACTCCTGGTGGTACTACAAGGGCGCGGGCGGCGGCGTGAAGACGTGGGACGCGCGGCCGGACATCTTCCCCAGCGGTCTCAGGTGACGTCACGCGTTCGAACGTTCCAAGCGTTCCACGACGTGGCAATTTCAGAATCTTCAAGCAGATCCTTTGGACAATATCATATTGGCAGGGCTGTATTGACTACCATAGCTGACTGTTGAAAAAAAAAGAAGCCAGTACAAAATCGAAGCCACCCCCCATCAAAACGCCTAAAACACGTCAAAAATGCAGGCGCCTAAACCTCTGCTTGGAGAGCACTATTTTAGACGATGTAGCAATTTCACGCAACAGCAGTTTGTTGCACCATGGATTTCCGCAGAGTTTAACCTCAGAAAAGTGCCGATGATAAGACAAGTAGGCATTATGCAGAATGATTTAGCACGCAGTCACTGAAATTTTGTCACCTAAATCACCTTTTCATGTGAAAGGAACTGCAATATCCATTGTCTTTTGTCGTCACAGGGCTCTATATGAAAAGATAGGGCTCCCTATTGTTGCACACAACAGATATTGGTGAGTACACTTTCATGCTGTTTGTTTGAGATTACACAACTTTTTGTACAGAGCATTCGCTTCAAGAGCTATTAGAAAAGCTATGTGCCTCCCTGACTTTTTTGGATTGAAAAGGATTTAACTTGGGCTTGTGATTCTTATGATGAAGCTGTACTTAAGGCATCTTAATGTTGTTTTCCAGGGCAAAGGACACCACGTACGCCAAACAAAATGGCGGGAACTACAGCTTTATCGTGGAAAAGCAGCTGTCCATTCCGACAGACATGGTGAGAAACGCGTCCCTGTCCTTGGTGCTGAATTGACTTGTTGTTGGTCTGTCCTTGGTGCTTGTCGGTCTATTGTCCCTGTCCTTGTCCTTGGTGCTGAACTCGCATGATGTTACTCTATTGTCCCTGTCCTTGGTGCTGAACTCACATGATGTTGGTCTATTGTCCCTGTCCTTGGTGCTGAACTCACATGTTGTTACTATTGTCCCTGTCCTTGGTGCTGAACTCACATGATGTTGGTCTATTGTCCCTGTCCTTGGTGCTGAACTCACATGATGTTGGTCTATTGTCCCTGTCCTTGGTGCTGAACTCACATGATGTTGGTCTATTGTCCCTGTCCTTGGTGCTGAACTCACATGTTGTTGGTCTGTTTTCACAGATGTTCTGGGACGACCTGTTACCCAGTCTAGAGAATGGGGACTGATCGTTTATGAACAGGTAGGGATTCGTAGGAAGCTTATGTATTACTACCATTAGTATTAAAGGGAAACAGAGATTTCAAGGTAAGTAAAACTTTTCAAAGTCAAGTTTCTAGTCCATCCTTTAGCATACTGATGCAAAATGCCATATCCCTGACGGAAAACAGTTGTTTCCTGTCGTTTTAGCTATTTGTTGGTGGTAAAATAAATAAAGGGACTCCTCATGTAGCTTGTTTGGGGGCTATTTCAAACGTTTCATGTATGCAATGATGACAACAAATGTGTAAAGAGGGGGAAAAATATCAGACAGAATTCATCATCCAGAGTATTATTTTTGTTTTGAAAAACTGCATTGAATGCCTTTAACATTACATGCCTAACGACGAACGATGAGCACGTCATTATTCATAAAACCACCCAATGTTTCACATGTGAAGAATTTCACAAGGAAATTGTTACTCAGGCAAATGAGATAGACTTTGAAAACTGATGGACGTTTCAAGTAGCACACTTTTTTTTCGTTAGCGCTTTACAACAAACTCTGTTGTTGAGCAGATATCTATTCAGATATCTAGTCAGGAGTTTTCAAAAACTACCCAGTTGTTTGAGTAACAGTTTTCTAGTGTACCTCATTATTTGGATGTCTAACGTTCATCGCGTATTGACAAATCTGATCCATTTGTTTGTATGTTCTTGTGTGACACAAGGACTGGCTTGACGTGGAGTTCAAGGGTCTTCAGGCGACTCTGTCCAGCATCAGTCTAGGGAAGCAGTGGTTGATGCAGTTCGGTCAGGCCGCGTCCTCGCACGACCTCAACATCCAGTACTGCATGGCCAACCCGCGGCACGCGCTGCAGAGTGTGCAGATTCCAGCTGTCACACAGGTAAAGTTGGTTGGAAGATATTTAGGGTATAGAATTTTCTTCTTACACAGCCAGTAAGGTTCTCACCTGCTTACGTGTGATGAACCGGGATGAGGGGGATACAAGCTCAGCCACGTTTGGGATTGCATTCTCGCCGCAAAAGCGCCACCTACATTGGCGATAAATAGCGGCGAGTTGCAGAACTCCAGTCAGAAGCTCTGTAGAAGGTGTACATGTCTGAAAGACATCGAAATGTAAGCAGGTGAGAACCTTACTGCTTGTGTAAGAAGAAAATTCTATACCCTAGGTAAAGCTCCTGTCACATATGGCGCCGCCGCGCGTTCCCGTCTCGTAAA